TGGAGATGGGCAAGACATTATGGCCTTCAAAGATAAGTGGGTTATTGCAGACAAACCCATCACCCTGTTGGTCCGCCTCTCGAACATAACTAATTCCCCAAGAGTTTCCTTCTTCATCAAGGAAAATAGAGGAGAGTGGCATGTCCCAAGGCTGCAATATTGTTTTGATCCTTTAACAGTAAACCTTATATGTAAAACCCCACTCCCGAAATGCCAACAAAGTGATACGAGAGTTTGGCATTACACAAAAAATGGTTCATATACAGTCAAAACGGGATACCATCTAGCTCTTGAGCTCTCCTTAGCCTCTAGCCGAAAACCACTGGTCCAAATCATTGATCCTCCTATCTGGAAGAAAACTTGGGACATGCTAACCCCTCCGAAGCTGAAATTCTTTATCTGGCAGTGCCTTAGAGTGATATTACCAACAGTAGTAGCACTCAAGTCTAGAGGAGTAAATTGCCTTGTTCGTTGCCCAGTTTGCTGGAGAAGCCCGGAAAGTCTTGAACATCTGTTCTTCAAATGCCCCATGGCCACAAGATTGTGGTCGCTCATGGGTCTAAATGATTTCATTTCCTCGGCTCCGACTGTGAACTTCAGTCTCTGGTGGCGACATGTTATGCTTTCTGAGCACCCCCAAACCCATATTCTCCTATACGTTTGTGTATTATGGAGGATCTGGAAGTCTAGAAATAAGGTGGTCTTTGAGCATATCCAACCTCATGCCCAGTCTCTCGCTCGTCAGTGTTTTTTCCAAGTTCGTGAACTGTCTTCCTCCCTTCCTTTGGTCCCTGTTCCTCCGCCCCAGCCTTCCTGCCCTCGCCGCTCGTCTTGGTCCCCTCCCCCTGATGGTTTTCTGAAGATCAACTTTGATGCTGCTGTTCGTCCTTCTGGGTGCTCGTCTGGTCTAGTGGTGCGAAGTTCAGACGGGCATGTGGCTCTGGCAGTAGGATCTCTTCACCCCGGTATTGATGATCCCTACCTCGCGGAACTCCTAGCTGCTAGAGACGCCATCTTCCTTTTGGTCTCCAAATCTCTGCCTCGGGTCATCATAGAAGGAGATTCAGAGGTGGTGATTCGTCAGCTTCGTCAAGGTGCTCTCTCAGACTCCATTGGAGGTCCGGTGCTTCGGGATTGCTTCGTTCTCCTGTCTTCTGTCTCTGTTTCTTTAGAGTTTAGGGCAGTTCCTCGGACTGCTAACAGGGCTGCCCATAGAGTGGCGCAGAAAGCCCTGTTACTCTCCCCTCTAGAGTTGTGCGCCTTTGACTTTGTTGGTTGGCTTCACTAATGTAATGGGTTGGGCAGGGTCTTGGTAGATTGTATAGGTTCTCTCTTGACATTTCTTGGGGGAAAAAAAAAACGGTTAACATCAAATCTATTATATTGATCTTCAAAAAAAAAATCTATTATATTGAGTTTCAAAAAATAGGTACCCGAAACCCAAAATTGAAGCTCTATGTGTAATAAATGGATATCTCTAATTTGCTTATTAGTTAGCAAATCTAAGCACCAAATTTAGACTTATGTGAGATGTTGTTGGCATGTTGGATTCACCTTCGTACTACCATTTGATTGTAGCTTTTCATAAACTCATTTAGATTTGATACAATCGGACTCAATTCAAATCCAACCCAAAAAATAATAAGTTAATAACAATGCATTTGGGCTCCAAGCTAATGGCCAATACGCATACGAATAAGGATAATCGGGTCAAACTAGCCTCATAGCTAACTCATTCTCCGATCTAGAGCTAGTATAGTACGTATAAATTTTTTGATTTTAGGTGTTCGGCCCAGTAATATTTAAAAGTCAGTCCAATGTTATTTGAGAATATGATTTTGTGTAATTTGAAAAATGGTCTAAATGAATATATCTAAACCCATATTCTAAATTAAGACTAAAAATTCAAGCCCCAATAATTTTCATTTGAAACGAATAAAATAAACAATGACACCTAAAAATTTTACACGTAAAAGACTAAAAGTGTAAAGTTTCATTCAAATAAAAAAACCTCTAAACTAATTCTCACACTTCTCTGTCAGAACTCAAAAAATTAACCCAATCCCCCAAAATACAAAATTAGAACGAGGAGACGAACGAACTCAAAACGAATTCCTCTGCTAGTTCGTCGGGCGCTAATTTCTTTCGTCTTTTGATGAAGAAAATATTTACAAACTTGTTGAGTCTTCATTTAAATTGCTTGAGTTGAGTTGTGCACTAGATCCTAAAGTTCTTTCCGGTCTTTTGATGACGTAAATATTTACAAACTTGCTCAAGAGTTTATATATCCTCGAGATTTTGAAGGCTATTAGATGCATTCTTTGAAGAATGATCTACGATAGTATGCCGCTAATGTGGTTCATAGTGATGAATATGAAGTTTCTTCCCTTGCAAAACTACTAGAGAAACTAGTGGAAACATAGATGGATACTCAATACAAATTGATTTGTCGGTTGATTCATCTAATGTTGACATAGCTCATTCCAACGACTACTATGGAGATAACATTTTCCGCAATGAAACAGGTGAAAACTTATTTACACAACATAATGAGCGATGAGTTTCTTTGAGATAGAATATGTTATTGGTATAGATGAAGACTCCATGATTTGGTGAATTCGCTAAATTAAAAGACCGTCATGTACAATTGACTTAGTAATGAAAACTAGAGTCATCATTTATTTTTTTGTTTACGGTATCTAATTTTCTATTCAAATGCGGCCCATAGTTCTACTATGTTCTGGATCCGCCGTTGTTGGTGACCAAATATGAGCGTTTTTAGTAATCCTAGTAACCAACCTTCCAATTTACCCCATTTTGTATTGGACGAAAAATCTTGAAGTGTAGGAACTAGTGGACATGCAGTTGGACACCATTACCATTACCAACACAAACACCCTCCCAATCTGACGCCATATTCCCAATTGCCTAATGCTCATGACATGAGTCTGTCCAACGAGGCAGTTGGTTAGAATTAGGACGAAGATTGTGATTAATTTCTGCCGAACTATTGGCCATCAGTCCATCACCATTAGAAACACATTTAATCATTAATTTATTACACATATAGCCAACTTTTAGGTCTTTTTGTAGCTATCGAAATTTCTGGTGATGATTCATTTCCATATCACCAGGATTTGTATGACTTGGTTTGTAACTTTGCCCAGAGTTTGAACTTCCGTTTAAAGGAAACACCGAGGAGGCGTCTTCTGGAGCACAGGTAGCTGCTAATTGCATGTTAATCCGATGACTGATTAACATATATACTAGTCTTCTTCCGACTCATCTCACATTCATCATCGACCTTTCCATTCTTGTGTGAAGCAACCAATCAGCATTATTATCATAAATGAATTAAAAAAAAAATGTACTCTGCTCACAACTTGGGGTTATATTATATGGAGATTCATGGCTTTCCTAGCACGTTGAAATGGATTAAAAATATGCACATGAAGAAGAGACGGAAAAGTAGGTGCAGGGAGGCTGATATTTTGATTAAGTAGTGATTTTTATAATGATGTGTAATTAAATAGTTAAGATTGTGATGGTGGCTGTCACTGTTCCCAGAGGTGGGGAAGTGGGGGGTGTCTGTCATCGCCCACTTCGCTTTGTTTATTTTTGTTTTCTTGCTCCGCAGCCTCGCGTGGCTAATTTCTGCCCACCTGCGCTTGAATCTTTATTGAGTGGTTATACGGTCCGGTTAAATTAGCCTAAATTGATTCGGTCTCGGTCTGGTTTTTTCAGAAATACAAGGATCAAATATTGGATCGGATACAGTCCGGTTTTGATCCGGTCCGGTCTCAATTCGGTCTTCATTTTAGATTGAGCTTCTAGGGAATTTGAGTGTCCCAAGACCTCAAATGGTGAGGAATTGGTTAAGTTTTGGGTGTTGGGCTCTCTTATCCGGTCTTTATCCGATTTTGGATCCGGTCCCAAACGGTTTTATACCTCAAATCTAAACCCGAATAAGGGATTGAATTGTTTGCTATCCTGTTCCGGTCCGGTCCAGGTTATACAGTCCGGTTTCGGGTAAAACCAAATAGTCTGGAACAAATAGCCAGCCCTACTCTTTTAGTACGATATTATTACTAAACTAAAATTCACTACTCAGATCACTTTGAAACCACATTCTTAAACCACCTTTTGATACCGAATGCTCCATCAGAACTCCAAAACTAGACTCTATTGCCACTTATAGAACTTAATCCATATAATATATTAGTACAATATTGTCTACTTTGAATTAAACCTGCACGGATTTACTTTAGCTTTCTTCATCTCATACTAATAAAATTAGGTGAACAATTATGCATAAAAAAAAATTCCCCCTATAATGTGATACTTGGATTGTATCCTAATAACACTTCTCCATAGCTTTGCAGGTTTCCCAACCCAGCTTAACGGAACCAGACCCAAGATTGTAGCAGCTAATCCATTGTATTGGTGATGAAGATGATGAGTAGTGATGAGTACATCCAAAGGGAAGTCATCGAAGGGTCATCTTCGATAAGGCTCCATCGTCCCAACTACTTGTTCCTACTATGATATTTCTTAACTCTTCTTTGTGTGTTCTTTAGTAGTGAAAGGATATAGAATTCTTTTTGTGGTGTTGTTGGAAATGTAACCATGCAAGCTGGGTCTCGAATCTCGATTGACGATGTATAAACATACAGTACATTGATATGCGTCCAAGTTCAACACGGATGCTCGTATATAAAACAAATGAAATGAGCAAGCTAGCTGCAGAAACTGAAACACATGACCATGAAGTTGTAGCAGTGGCGGTAGTCGTGATGAGTTAAAACAACATTATCAGCGATACCCAACCTTTGTCTGTATACTGAATCAATGGCGGATGGATGCTCCTGGGGAACTGGCGCTGCTCGTTGTTAATTAATTAGCGACTCTCCGGGTTTAATTAATTCAGGAAACAAAGTATACTATATTACTATTATCAATTCCAATTAAATGATTAGTTAAATCCGAGCACGAGAGGAACCCAGCTGGAATCAGGACTCAGGAGACTTCCCCCTCTCCTCCCTTCCCTTTCCATGGCCCTCTATATAAAGGCCGCGAAACCAAGAGGCTTTCACCACACAACCAAATCAATTTAGAGAAAGAGAGACCAGATCTCGCCGGAGGCCAAGTCGAGAGAAAGAGAGAGGGCAAGGGAAAAAGAGAGGAAAGGCAAATTTTGTTGTTTGTTTTTTTTCGGGGTGGTTCATTCATACTCGAAAAAACAGAACAATGGGAGGTTGGGCTATTGCAGTGCACGGTGGCGCTGGGGTGGACCCAAATCTCCCTCTTCAGCGACAGGAAGAGGCCAAGCGCCTCCTCACTCGCTGCCTCAATCTCGGCATCTCTGCTCTCCGCTCTAATCTCCCCGCCATTGACGTTGTCGAACTCGTTGTACGTTTTCATTCCCCTGTTTCACCCCTCCTTGCTCCTCGTTTATATGTGTTCCTCAAGAATGAGTAATAATTGATCCACAATCTGGACATAAAAATGATAAACTAATCAATTTGGTTCCCAATTTGATCACCATCACAAAAATGGATCCTTGTCGGTTACTGTTTTGCATTGCTCTGTTTTCCTGCGAAAGAAACAGAGCATTTTTATCGTCCAGCAAAAGTTTCAGACTTTTCGATTCCATGCACAGTGATTCCTTTCTGTGCGATGAACCCAAATGTTGAAAATGTTCGTTTGAATCGCTGATGGATTTGTGGTGTTGCAGGTTCGGGAGTTGGAAAGCGATCCCCTGTTCAATTCCGGCCGCGGTTCTGCCCTCACAGAGAAAGGCACGGTGGAGATGGAGGCCAGCATCATGGACGGCACCAAGCGGAGATGCGGCGCCGTTTCCGGCGTTACCACCGTAAAGAACCCAGTCTCACTAGCCCGCCTCGTCATGGAAAAATCCCCTCATTCTTACCTCGCCTTCTCCGGCGCCGAGGACTTCGCCAGGCAACAGGTGATTCCTCCTTTTCCTCTTCTTCCGAAATCAAACCTTGAAATCCCATTAGAATAAGTTACTTTCCCCCCCTTGTTTCTGTTTTCAATGTCACGTGAAGCAATCCATGGCGACAATTAAATTAATCAATCAAATGATTGATGAATAAAATATGATCGCAGGGAGTCGAAATGGTGGAGAATGACTACTTCATCACGGAGGAAAACGTCGGAATGTTGAAACTGGCCAAGGAAGCCAACTCCATCTTGGTAATTGTTCCTTCCAAGTTCCAACAAACACCCTCTCCTTCAATTCACCGATTCCCCCTAAATTTCACTGTTTCACTCTCTCTGGGGCATTTCGTCGAACAGTTCGACTACAGGATCCCGCTGCCAGGGACCTGCGCTGCAGGGGCAGCAGCCACCAACACCCCAATCCGCATGAACGGCCTGCCGATCAGCGTCTACGCACCGGAGACCGTGGGCTGCACGGTGGTGGACAGACAGGGCCGATGCGCCGCCGCCACGTCGACAGGCGGGCTGATGAACAAGAAGATCGGCCGGATCGGAGACTCGCCGCTGATCGGCTCGGGCACCTACGCGGGGAAGCTCTGCGGCGTGTCGTGCACGGGGGAAGGCGAGGCCATCATCCGCGCCACCCTCGCGCGCGACGTGGCGGCGGTGATGGAGTACAAGGGGCTCGGCCTCCAAGCCGCCGTCGACTTCGTGATCAAGGAGCGGCTCGACGACGGGAAAGCCGGGCTGATCGCGGTTTCGAGCAAGGGGGAAGTGGCGTGCGGGTTCAATGCGAACGGGATGTTCAGAGGGTGCGCCACTGAAGATGGGTTCATGGAAGTTGGGATCTGGTAAAATGAAAAATCAGAACTTTAGAACGAAAAGATGGAATCTTTAGGGGGTTTTGATGGATGGGTCTCTTTCTATGTAGTTCTAAATCAGTTTAGCCTCTGTCTGTATGTGTCGCCTTTGATGATCTGAAGCGGGCGCCATAGCTAGCTTTGTTGACTATGTGGTGGGGGTGGGAGTTCTCTGTTTCTATTGTGCTTTGGTTGGATTGTAGTTTTCTTAATTGGTTTCCCCGATTAATGGTGTATTTCTACCGTAAACATTATTATGTGGCGGTGCAGCATTATTATGTTTACTAATGTTAATATTAAGGTGGCGGTGCAGCCTCATTTATCTCTGTTGTTGTAAGAGCTTGATGGTCACAATTAGTGAAGAACTAGAGATAATCCTTCTCATTTATGATGTACATAGTGGTTCATATATTTTATAAAAAAATCATAAGTGACCACAATTTTATTAAAGCATATCACAATTCATCTGAAACATATTACAAGTACGTTTTGGGTATGAATACTTAATATAATAGCTATAATAAGGATTGATTCAGCTATCTGCAAAATGCATAGTCCAAAAATTGCACCCAATCCAAGAAAGATGAAATTTACAAACGAAAAATCCACTCAACTTTACACCTTAATTTTAACGATAAATAGGAATGAATTCGAGTGGGTTAGGTTGGGGATTATTTTTGTTCACCCCTACCAATAACCTCAAAAGTATGGCCAATACTACGGTGCCGCTGTTAAAAGTGCGGCACCGGTGCCGCCTCATTTGATTGGTACACGTTGATATTGGGAAAATGACCTGGCATGTTTTCTATTTATAAAAATCAACTCAAACCCGTGGCCAAACGGGTCCAATTCTCGGCAACACGCCCAACTGATCAGGAATTTATTTATTATTTAATACGCCAGGTTTCCGGTCGGACGGTGCGGGAGGCTGGGAGCAACAGTGAGAATTTCATTCTCTCTCAGTCCCGTCTCCGTTGACTCCAAGTAACAAATGGTTCCGGTGAATTTCTCTGACGCTTATTCCGGCTAGTCCTCTATCTCCATCAAAATGCTTCACCGCCACCGGATCCACAACGATCCCAAGCCGACTTTTGGTGAATAATTAGAGGTGCATAGCGAGTTTTCCCAATGGATTTGAAATACTTTCAGGTAATTCCTTTGTCCCGCCATCACCCTCCTTCTCCGCCTGTTGTTACATGTCTTCTCGCCCTGCCTTCCCTTTGACTTCTATTTATTGGGAATGAGAAGCAGAGTAATGCTAAACCAATGGGCAATGACTTCAAAGTAGAAAAACGTAGATGAATAAACACATTCAATGATAGTTTTATCCCCATATACTATAGCTTGGTATCAGCATTCTTGCAAATTCTGCTCTGTTTGAAAGTTTGCTATATACTTTCATCCCAGTTCTGCTTTATCACTGACAAAACTTACACAAGAGAAGAAGTGAGTAAAGGACGCATTAGTCCTTTTTCTTCTTGCAACTATTTGACATTCCGCCCTTATTATGTATCACATTTGAACGACATTGTATCCTGTAACAGAGGATAATACTGAAGTTGTTAATGTGCAGTTATTGAAAATGGAGAGCCACGTTGTTAATGGGGCCTTAAGGATAAATAAAGTTTCAGACTTTTGAGTTGAGGGGAGGAGGTAGGGATATTGTAAAAGAGGAGTGTAGTTGAGCTAAATTTTTATGCCTTTTGTACTTCGTATCTAGAAACCTAGTGAATTTGTAGAGTTCTTATTGAGCAAGACTTTGGTGTTCATTGTAATAAGTTGCAAACTGCTATTTTGATCAAGGGAAATGGATGAATAGTCTTTCCTATGGTCAGGGGTGTGTAAGGCTTTGTTGAGTTATGATTAGTTCGTTCTTTACACAGATAACAACATGCTTCTTATTGAAATGTAATAGCATTACTGTATGGATAACAAGTACTTGAACCAATACAATCAATAATTTTTATCGAATTTTTTAGACACTAATAATCTAATACTAACACAATCTATGATATGATAGTTGACTAGAGGTAACATTAATTGGAAGGATTAATATTAAAAAATTTGACGTTGTCACTGACGACCCTTTACAACATAGGTTCTAATGAGCCTATGAATAACCACATAATTACATACTTGGGGCACTGTTACCCTTCCTTCATTGTTAATGAGAAGAAGATTGTTCAAAAGGTCAGTTGGACTTTATTGACAATTCAACTAAACAAGGAGGAAAATGAAGCTAATAAACTACTACATAGATCCTTTCTTTGCCCTTTTCATAAGCTTACAAAAGGAAACACCAAACAGAATCCAATGCAGCAAGGCATAACCACAGATGGAGAAGAGGCTAACAGCTAGAGGAAATCAGGAACTACTCTACTTAATTAGTTAATTATAGAACAACTAGCTTCTATGGCACCACAATAATTATATCCTACAACAAAACTTAGGGTGCCACCCACAAATGCCTACTAATGGTAACAGCCTAACAGGTGATCTTGGTTGACACGCTTCTTTCCTCTTCTCGGCTGCAACACTAAGATGTTCTTCTTCGTCCTTGAACTGGGCAAGGCACGTCTGGAAGAGCTGTACGTCCATCTTCGAGAACATTACCCTGATGTTGAGAGTTAAGCACTCCTTGATTCCAATGGCTTTTCCAATTCTGGGAACTTATTAGCCAGGATCATGTGACGGTTGTGAACTATCAAGTTCACGATTGGTCGTTGTTCCACAAGAAAAGGGAGCGTTCGGCTACCTGAGGCCACGAGGGAAAAAAACCCCAGAAGTTTTGCAATAAGGAACAACAAAACCGGAAGCTTGATTTCATATATGATTGAACTATAAAATAGGTAACATAAATTTATACAAATTATGTTGCCAGTATATAATAGAACTAGAAGTATAAGGTTTAACCAAGTGTAGACCCAAGAAACATCCAATGTCTTTATTCTCCTCCAATCAACAAACTTCAGATTCGGATTTTGACGCTTCAAGAGGTACGACACAAAGCAGGGGGCGATGCAGAGGATCGTGTGGATTGGATGAGGACGGAGCAGTTTGACGAAATACCGAGGGTCGAGCCATAGAGTCTGTAAAGGAGATTGAATCGGCCATGGAGATGTTCGCCGAAACTTTTGATTGCTTCGATCCGATGGAGAGGAAGGGCGAGCAAGATGATTTATATTGGTTTTTTTTTTTTTTTTCAAAGAAGAAAGGCAGAAGAATAACTAAAAGACGAAATAAAATTTTCCTGGTCAATGGAGCGGCTTGCAGATGTTTGGGTTGGGCGATCTATTTGGGTTGGGTTTTCCGGAAAAGCACAACGAGGCCACGTAAGCAGCTACGTGTACCAATCAAATAAGGCGGCACCGGTGCCGCACTTTTAACCGCGGCACCGTAGTATCGGCCCAAAAGTATAGCGTATGGGCCGACTTGTAGCTTCATGTCTCCTGACTTTGGATGCTCATTTTACGAATAAGATAACTGATACGTTCGTGGACTACGTGATGTTATTGGGCCAAGTCTATCTTTTTGCACCATTGAGCCGAGTCTGCCTTATTGCTGGTAGGCTCGATCCTGGATAATAATGACCGAACTTATGGGCTGGCCCTCACTTTGGGTTGCATGGTGTGGAACTAATTTGTAATGGCCCAACAAGGGGAAACTATCTATCCATTCTCCCTCAGGCTTTCTCTCCCTCCCGTGAAGAAAATCACCACGAGACCCCGATTCCTCCATAATCCATATCATTTCACGCCTCTTATCCACTACATTCCAAACTATACATCAAATACGGTTAGTGAGATATCTCTATCTAGTTCATTAATTAATTTGAGTTTAATGTATGATACTAATACTCTAATTTCTAATTGATAAGTTTATGGTTTGGATTATCTAAACCCAAACCCAAAGTTCAATTTAATACAAAACAATAATCAACGATTCCAACTTGTCAAAGTACAACGAAGTACATCCAACAATAAGATCACTTGAAGTATAATAGACTCTACGATAAACCCACAAAATGTACTAGCCCCGGTGGCGGATCTAGGGGGAGGCATCCCCGGGCCACGACCAACCCTCTTATGAGTTCAGAGATAGTATAACAAAGAAAACATGCTTGTTTGGAGTCCTTTCAGCCTCTTTTGGTCCAGTACTAATTAGTATATAATATTCTATTGAAATACTACCAAATACAATTCGCAGTTGATTGACCCTAACAAATTTCCTCAAAATTTTTTGGTTGTCCACTACGAGATAGTTTTCCAAGATAGCTTGGGCAGGTGGGGAAGGCTATTGTCAAGCTAGCTAGCATTCGACAAATAATGTTCAACGCAGAGTTTTTGTTAGTTTTTTTTATAAAAGATAATCATATATTGATAAAAAAATAGGTAACTACATCCTGGAAGAAAGCCAGACCAGGAAATCAAAAGAACGATTCATAGTCGGGTACAAAGAGAGGGCTTTACGAGCCACCGAATGAGCTACCCTATTACTACTCCGACCTACAAATCGAACCCTAAAACCAGCAGAGCTATGAAAATATTTTTGAAGTTCCTCCAAAACAGCTCCGATCCGGTTATCTCTGATATTCGCACGATTGATTTTATCAATAATAACCTTGGCATCCCCTTCAAATTGGACCTCCGAGAGGCCTAGCTCCAGGCACCACCAAACTGCCTCCCGAAGGACAAGCAATTCTACCACCATCGGATCATCCATGCCAGGAAAACAAACCCCTTTCACCAGCCAAACATCTCTAGTAGGAGTAAAAAGAACCACCCCACCAGCCGAATGAGATCCTCTCCGAACCGCCCCATCCCACATACACACCACCCTGTTCCCCCACCCAGACCCATGAGGTTCGACTCAGAGGGTTCAGCTGCAAGGGGAGACAATCCTGGGCTAGTGGTAATTGGAAGCCGGATCCACTCCTCATACTGTTGCTGAAACTGACGAGTTGGAATTCCATCCTAAACTTGGCACTACATCCATTCGATGGTGATAGAGGGCCCGATTACGGCGACTGCCCAGTAGCCAACATTGAATATTTCTCCCAACCGCGTCATACAAAATTTTAGTTTATTACGTGCTTATCTTTGATTAAGCTTTTGTGACGAGTTGATCAGTTAATCTCCAATTATCAGTCAACCTAGCTTTTTTTTTTTTTTTTTGACAAAAGATAATCTTATATTAAAATAAGCAAACGATAGTTACATCCTGGATCCAAGCCAGGTCCGAAAATCAAAACCCCGACTCATAGCCGGGTACAATGCAAGGGCCTTTCTAGCCACCAAATGGGCTACCCTATTGTTACGCCGACCTACAAATCGTAAAGAAAAACCAGGATGGGCCTGCAAATAATATCCTACTTCTTCCAGTACAGCCCCCACCGCATTATCCCGTACATCCGCCTTGTTGAGCTT